CCTCCTAGCCAGGCAGCCTGGTCCACGCACGTGCACGTCCCCTCCTAGCCAGGCAGCCTGGGCCACCCACGTGCACGTCCCCTCCTAGCCAGGCAGCCTGGTCCACGCACGTGCACGTCCCCTCCTAGCCAGGCAGCCTAGTCCACCACACCCCTGATCGTCATCCCAGACGGAGCCGCTGTCAAGCTGTGAGTCTTCCCTGCTAGCTTCCTAGTGTGTGTGTATGTGTGTGCTTAAGGTAATAAAATCTCAAGTTTTTTTAAATGTAAGGTACAGGGTACTTCAAAAAGTTTATAAGAAAACAATTAAAAGATAATACAAATCTTTCCACGCCCGTGTGTATTTTCTGATCTGTATTCATAATTTTTGCTCCGCCTTTCAAAACCTGGTAAAGCAAGGACATCATTTGGGGGATACAAACATTCTATCCTCTTGTATTCTTGGGGATGCCCAGTGGAGACCTGCCATTAAGTGCAGGAGGAACCCTCCCGGTGGCTGCGATCTGGGCAGGGAGAGCAGAGCTCTGTGGTTCACTTGGTCCTTCTAGTGACAGTACAGCCTCTTAGCCTCAACCTACTACTTAGTTTTTTTTGTTTGTTTGTTTTTTTACGTGGCAGGAGGAAGAAGAAAACTGGAAAGGGAGCAGCACAGGGGGCTCCCTGGGCCCCCGTCTCTTACTGATGGCTCTCCAGATCTGGCAGAAGGCCAGGGTGAAGCAGACGAAGGCCCAGTTCCACTCGTGGTTCTTCCCAACAATGGACACGCCCATGAAGATGAAGATCAGGGTCTCGCTGACACTGCTCAGCATCTTCATGAAGTACTTGATGGTCGTGTAGGATTTCTGGGACACGTTTTCTTCCACGTACTTTTTCATCGTCACTGCGCAGGCTGTGATTCTACGAAAGGAGCAGATCTCAGAGAGACTTGGCAAGTGTCGCCCCTCCACACAAAGCCCTCCCCACTGGCAATGCCCGCTGCAGAAAGAGCATCTCCTCCGTCCCTCTCTCTGGCTGCAGACTTTCCACAGATTTTCTTTCCTCTTCTCCCTCTGCAATGGGCGTCCCCAGGGTGGAGCTGGGTGTGCTGGAGGCAGGTACAGCCTGGCCATCCCACAGTAAGATGGCCAGGAGCACAGTGCTTCCGTCCCTCCCTCACCCAGGGCTTGGCCAGCCCCGGTCTTGCTCTCCACTTCTCTCTGCTTTAAGCCAGAATAAATCCACTTCGGTTGCCTAAACAGGTAATTCAGCACGGCCCTCGTTTCCTCCAAACAAACAACATTTCTTCCCACAATCTTAGGAGAAATCTTTCATTTCAAATGCTTCTCTTCTAGAGCCATTTTGCAGGTATGGGGAAAAGAAAGAAACTTCCCTGGTCTTGGTGGTTCTGATCATTTTTAAGATGGGAGAATGATGGCTGCCTGAAGTTTGCTGTTATATGTCATTGTAATAGGTAATTCTGTACAATAAAACTAGATGTTTCTGCCTGAATAGCTGCATATGAGGACAACATCACAGAGAAAACAACAAGACCAGATATAACAAGCCAGGATGAGAAGCCCTGTTCGCAGATAAACATTTTCAAGGATGCAAGGACACAGTGATAAGCATTTCAAAAATATTTTCATTAGGACAAAGAAATCTAGATTCCTGGTCTTCTCCCATCTGCCGAGTTTCGCTCCACATGGGACAGTCACAGGGCTCTGATGAGGGCTCAGGAGAGCAGCAGAGGCTGAGCCAGGAGCAGCAGTCCCTCACGGCACACCTCCCTTCAACCTGAAAATTAAATTTTTCAAAGAAAAAAAATAACTGCTGAGATAAGACTTCAACCTTGACCTTTTCCCAGAGCTGCTCTGCACCAGCTTTTCTGAGCACTCTAAAATGACATAGCACTTAGCTAAGCTGTCCTCGGGCACATCACCGGGAGAGAGCAGTGTTGGCAGAACATTTGTTTGGCAGAGGACCTGAATCAGATTTGACAAAAGTGTAAAAAATCCTAAACCCTCCGTAAATCTGGGAGGAGTAGCGTCCGAAGTCATGCCTTTGCAGGTGCCGGGTTCCTGCAACGTGGTCCTACCATGTTCTCTTTACGTTACTATGAGACTTGACCCTTGGTTTGTACTCACGCCAGGATGCCAGACAGGTAGAGCGTCTCGGCAGCTAAGTAGGACAAATAGCTGAACATGAAGACGATGAGGGGCTCAATTGCAGAGATATTCTGGGTGAAACGTGTGATAAACGCAGAAATGAATCCAAAGACAATGCCGAAAAACACTCCCCCAAACCCCACAACGATGAATCGGGCACATCCAGCCAAAACGTCAACGGGTTCGATGTCTTCAAATTTATGCATCTTTGTGAAGGCAATTGATATATTGTATAAGACCTAGACAAAAAGAAAATGAAAGAAAGAAAATAAACATGGATTATCTAAGTTTTGTGTCCAATTAACACACAACAATAAGCTTCACAACAACAAATATTGACGTGGCTACATGTGACTTTTAAATGCATTCCCCATAACGTAAATGTATTCAGTCTCACTGAATAAAAAGTGTAATGCTTACAGCTTGCAATCACCGAGCACCTACTATGTGCCAGTCTCTTTGCTAAGCTCTCTGCGTCAGTGAACTTATTACCTCTAAGCTGCAAAGGCAGCCTTCCGTGTGTGCCTCCTTTAAACTGAGCACCAGGGTTCGCTCTCTCAGTACAGGGTGCAGAAGGGACATTGCAGGAGGAAGGGGCTTCCTGTAATTTGGGGGAGCCTGAGGAGAGAGTCAGCCATGTGGGTGGAAGGACTGCCAGTGGAGCCTGCCTGAATCACAAGTCCCTAAAAGTGATCCCTCTGCAACCTTGTAGCTTCGGCCTGGTGATAACCTGACAAAAAGCCCCAGCATGGCCGACGTGACCTTTTCCCAGATCTTCCTGTGGCCCAGGGGTCTACCAAGCAGTCCTCCCTGTCACCTCCGCCTTCTGAGCCAGGCCCAGAATAACACTCTGTGACAGGGATTGTTATTGTCTGGTCCTGCCCGCCCTTCCCAGGGTGGCCTGTCGTTTGCCCAGCAACTTCAGACCAGCTCCAGTCTGGCTAAACCAGCCAGTTCCTCTGCTGTTCTGTGGCCGATTCACACCTTCTCCAGGGAGATTGGAGCCACTTCCAGGTTTGCCTTCCTTGGGTGCCCTCCCTCAGCCCGAGGGAACCAGAGAGAGTTGCTTTACCACACTTAATAAATTTTACATGAACGTTTTGTGATTCCTCATTCCTGATCGACCCAGCCTGCTACACTCTCCATAGACATCGTCTCATGGAATCCGCCCAGCAGCTCTTGCTTACGTGATACACACTCTTGGCTCTCTACTTATTTCAATGTTCATTTTGAAGTTTCGGGGGTCTCTGCTTCGTGTCACTCCACAGCCCAGACACCTGACAGTGAGACCTATGCAACAGAGAAGTGAGATCTCTGCAGCAGGGGATGGCCTATGTGGATGTCAGACCCTGAAGAGCTCTGCTAAACCACAGCACACGCCTGTTGGCCTTTGCCTATACCAGGAAACGTGAGAACAATCAGAGCCGAGGGCAGAAGAGAAACCTCAAGGACACTCAGAGATTACATCCCGTGTGCTGTAGAATCACAGGGCTGCAGCGGACCCTCTGGGACCGAGATTGCATCCCGGGAGCTGTAGAATCACAGGGCTGCAGCGGACCCTCCGGGACCGAGATTGCATCCCGGGAGCTGTAGAATCACAGGGCTGCAGCGGACCCTCCAGGACCGAGATTGCATCCTGGGTGCTGTAGAATCACAGGACTGCAACCCTCTGGAACTGATTGGTCTGAACCCCACTCACCTGCTCACCTTCATGCTGCCCCAGCCTGAGCCTCCTGGTCCCTCCTTTCACACTCGTCCTTACTCAGACAGCTTGCAGTCTCACAAAGCCAACTCAGTGTCACCTCTGCTCCTTGCTGTGGCCTGACAGCTTTTGGATTCTTGGTTTGCTTCACGTCAGGGCTTACCAGAACCACGAGGTGTGGTTGGCAACCTGCAGGCAGCTGGAACCACCCCCTCCCCAGCCCGTTTCCCAGCCGTGGCCCCTCCAGCCCTGCTCTGCACGTGGCCTCTGCTGACTCCCCATGACGTCACCTTTATGGTAAAAGATTGTTGCTTTCTGACAGAGGGGCTGGCAGTAAATGATTGATCATCTGCAAATGTCATCTCCAGGCGAGTTTCTTGCTGTGCTCATATCATAAACAGTCAGAGTGCAGGGAAACACAGGCCCCCTTCATCTCTTTTGCCCTCTCATCTAAGGGGTGTCTCACATTTGTTAGAGGGAGGGTGTCCTCTAGTGACAAAGCAGAAGCAGCAGTTGGTTATGGGGACGAGCCTTCTTGCTTTCAGGGGCCTTGGAGGCACCGTGTTAACCCCGAGTACACTTTGCTACCCACTTGAGGATGGAGATCAGAATCATCCAGCATGGCTTTGACTTTGGAATGTAAACTGGCTGAGAAGCTCGTTCTTCAGGGTGGCTCAGGTGTCACCAGTCCGCACCTAGGATGCTTCATTGTCACTGGACTTTGTGGACGGGGAGAGGGAACAGTGAGGATGGTGCTGGCCCTTCTGCCCACAGACTCTTGGTCCACAAGCACCTCCACAGTGCAGCTTCGTCACCTGACTTCTGCGTTCGTCTCCTAAGGCTGCTGTAACAGTGTGCACAAACTGTGCAGCTCACATGAACAGGAACGCATCCTCTCACTGTTCTGGAGGCTAGAACTCTGAACCAAGACGTTGGCAGGACCATGCCCTGTGAAGGGGCCTGGGAGGAGCCTTCTGGTGGTTGTTTGGTAATGCTCGGTGTGCTTGGCTTGTGGACACATCACTGCAGTCTCTGTCTCCATCTTCCTACGGCCTTCTGCTCTGCGTGTCTCCTCTGTATCACACGCTCTTCTTAAAAGGACATCAGTCATTGGATTAGGGGCCACCTAGCCCAGTCTGAGTTCATCTTAAGTTAACTAATCGTACCTGCAAAGACACTATTTCCAAATACAGTCACATCCTGAGGTTGCAGATAGACATGAATTCCAGGGTCCAGGTGGGGGAATATTCTACCCAGTACAGCTTTTATGACAAAAGTGATTGACGTATTGTAGACTAGCATATTTTTGTTGTAAATCTCTCAGAGCATAAATATATTCATTTTGAATTTTACAAAGCCCTAAACTCTTTAAAGGAATCCCAGGACACATGTTTGCAGTACATGGAATAGTGCCTTCTTTTCAATGTAATGAACAGCCAGTAGCCAGTAAGCTCGGTTAGAAAAAAAGGAATGTGGACAGAAGGGTATAAACAGGCTTGCCTCCTTCCCCTTGTTTACCTAAAAGAGAAACTGAGGTCAAATACCTATAGCAAGGAGTTTATTTGAGCATATATAAGGAATTGCAGTCTCAGAAGACACAGCCAAGTTGCCTTGGAATATGCTTTGAAAGAGGTCAGCAGAATTCAACATTTTATTTTCACATGAGGCAGGAGAATCAAAGGGGAGAAGAGGACGACCCACCCACCCAGGGGTCATATCAGTTTTTCTATTTTGCACATGATGTGTAGATTGGGGGTTGTTACCTCATCGCATCCTATATGCAGGGATCTCAGGTGAGGGTAACAAGAAGCATTCTGTGTTATTTTATCACGCCTGGTGCCGGTCTGTCTGCTTCTAAGTTAAAATGATTTTATGATAACATTTTCCAGGACATGGGACATGACTACTGACTCAATCCAGATTTATGAAAGCGCTACAACTTAGCCGACCTGGTCAGAGCAGAGTTTTTTGGTTATCATTCCAAAGAGATGCTGCCACTGTATTTTCTGGGAGGAAAAGAAGCTGGGGAAGGCGAAGAAGACGAATTAGAAAGCTTGGTGCAAACTGGTCTGAGCAAGACACACACACACACACACACACACACACACCATGAACACTGGGAATTTCTGAAATTAGGAAAGGAATTACTTTAAAAAAGAAAGACTTATGGAAATCCTAAACCAGATTTGCTTAAGAATATATATGCTAAAGTGCAGAAATTTTGAGAAACAAAAGTGCAAAGGAAAACCCCCACGATATCCCACAATCCCTTCCAGAGAAGATCACCATAAATATGTATTATAAATACATCTTTTCCAAGCCTGTCTGTCTATGTACCCTCTGTCTGGCACTGACCATCCATGTGTCTGTCTGATCAGAGCCCCTCAGCCCTCCGACTGCAGGGAGTGAAACCGACCAGTGAGCTGTTGCCCCTTCATTCCAGTGCCCTTCTCAGCTGAGCACAAGTGTGGCAGGTGCACTGAGGTCAGCCTCTTCCTGGAAGTTCAGGACTCCAGGAAGTCCTCAGCCTGATGACTCCTGGTGGGCTTCATAAGCTCTTTGAGAAATGCAGTTCACGTGAGGTCACTCTTCCCTGGGGCCTGCGGCTTCTCCCTGTTCCCTGACTCCCTTCCCATTTGCTCTCGTAGGAGTTTCCCCTAAAAAACCTTTGGCACATCTAATGCCCTCTGGATGTCATAGACGACCTGGACAATATCTATTCACCTGTCTCTCCGTGTATGAGTCCTGTTTAACAAAGCCATGATAATACTGGTCTATTGTTTAAGCAAACTGGAGCATTGTTTCAAGAAATCATTGACAATGGCACAGGGTGCTAATAATTCAGTGCTGATGGCCTGTGTAGTCTGTAGTCTATTGTGCTTCCTGATTTCCATTTTATTGGGGAGGCCCAGAGACCACCCAAGGGGTCCAAGGAGACACTGGGGATTAGTGATGGAGATGGGGCTTGTCTAGGAAGGGCTGGGGGCAGCAGGGCTGGAAGTGAGCTGGAGGACATGGAGGCCTAGCAGCCATAGTGCCGGCTTTTTGGAGGTAGGTGGAACCCCTGGGAGTCATGCTCTGCTGGCTCTCTGGCTTCATTCTGCGGGCAGTAGGGAATCATTGAAGGTTAGAGAGAACCAGATACCCAGAGAGAGACAAGGACACTAAAGGGGAGCCCAATCTCTTGTCCTGGTGGCCCCAGCCTGGGGCCATATTCCAGGAGCAGATGCCAACCTCTCACCTACGCAGCCCCATAGGCTCACATCCGATAACTTCGTATAATGTATGCTATACGAAGTTATTACGACACTGAGGGTTGCGATCCGTTGCCGGACACGGAAAAAGACAAAAGACAAAAAAAAAAAAAAAAAGAAAGAAATCATTGACTGAATAGTTAAAGAAAATATGTGACTTATTTTTTTCAAAATGAATCCAGAAGAACCTTAGCAGTTATATCCTGAGTGAGAGAGTTTGCTTAGTTTGATTTCACTTCCTGCCTGTCCTCGGAGCAATTAACATCTGGTTCTTAGAAGCCCT